TTTGAACAATAGGTAAGTTTATGTGTATGTCTATTATTAAAATATATAAATATCTGGCATAGTGGAGTTGACATTTTACAAGGTGCCTACATTTATCTATTATCACAATGACTCCTCATGGCTGAGTATCAAGGTCAGCTTTATCATATTACATTTTCAAATGAGCAAAAAGTGATTCTAAGTTCAAATTATTTCTTCAAAGTCAAGACACTGAGTAGTCTGGGTCTTTTTATTCCAGACCCATTGCTTTTCCCATTCCCCTTTTTGTTTTATAATAAAAGAGAACCAGAAAAAAATTTGATCAACTGACAGAAAATTCTTTAAACTCTCAGCTTTTTGATTGCTATGTTCATAAACATTCTCAAGTCTTCGTCATGCCTCTTAATTATTTAAATTCAGACAAGTCTGTTTCATTACATCATAGCTTTTAAAATGTTTTCTGGAGTTTAATGAAGTGTCAGTGGTACCAGTAAACACATGAAACTAAGATATGTGTTGCTCACTATCTGTGATTGGCACTATCATAACTAAATAGTTAGGAGTTGTTACAAATTTGACGTGCACCATAAAAAATGCTTTTATTTGTTGAACAATTAAAGATAGCTTTGCTCTATGAAGTGCAGGAATATTACAATTAAAATCACAAAGGCACTGCTTGCATCTTAAAGTGATCTCCTATCATGTAATTTTGAAAATTAAATCTCATTTATAATCTCTTAAATAGGCCTACATGCAATATAATCGGATAGTATAAAAGGTTCAAGGAATTCAGAATTTAGGTAAATTAAACTTGAGAAACAAACATTCTGACTTATAAGAATATTAAAATTATTAAATTAATTTTGCTTACACCAACACCCAGAGGATTACTTTTATTTTGGACCAAAAAAAAAAAAAAAAAAAAAGCAATTCAGACTTGTTCTATCACTTATTGAGCACTTTTCTTCATGCTCTCTAAAGTTCACTGCTATGAGAGATGACCCTGAAAACAGATAAGTTAAAATGATTTCCCAAATGTCAAAAGCCAGTGATGCAGCAGGACCAGTTCCAGAACCTTCAGATTGTGGATCTTGTTCCTATGTGCACTACTCCCACACAAGAAAACAGACAAAAGCAAATTACACTGTTCAGCTTGGTTACTACCCTCAATCTAGAGTTCATTTCTCAGTCTCATTAACAACTGGCTCTATTTTGGAAAGAAGGCCATTTCATTTGCAAAATTATATAAAGTTCGACTTTCTTCTTGTACTAAAGGAGGTTCTTGTGTTCCGTTAATTGCTTCTCTAGAAAGATTTTACCTCTGGGAGACCATAAGCCCCTCTGAGTCAATGAAGAAACTCATCTGACACTGGGGACACACCAACTTCTCTTCTTGCTCTGTGGGCTCAGAGTTAGCATGAGAAACCAACGTAAGAAAATGGTTTATTTAATTCCTTGGAGATGTTCATTGACATAAAAGAAATTTATTTACATAGCCTATCTTCTAAGTGCAAATAAATATTCAGTTGATTCAATAGAAAGTTTTGACAAAGACACAGGCATCAAAGAATTAGAGCAGGATAGACATAAAAAGGATATAAAAAAGGATATTAAAGGCTGTGAGTGGGTAACAGCTTGGACAGAGGATGAGTCTGGGGAAATATTTCCTATACACCTGAAACTCGTAGACTCACACACCTGTGCTCTAGTTTTAGAAGGTACATTTCTCTAGTAAACAATGATTTATTAGCACTTCCCCAGAAAGAATAACTGTAAGCTGATGCCTGGTTTAACCACTTAAATTGGTTTGTGTGTGTGTGTGTGTGAATTCACACAAAAACACACTTATCACATGAGTTTGGCATAAATAAGTGCTCTATGTGTGGTTGAACTAGACTGCAAGGACACGTGAACAGCACTATTCTCACCTTAGGTTTCAGTACAATGGTGCTTCTATTTCATACACGTGAACAACCACTTACAGATGTTTATTAGTCATGCCTGAACAATTTTTAAAAGAAGAAGAAAATGATTTTGAACACTGGGAATGTTTAAAATGTTTGGGAATTTGAATTTACAAATACTACAGCATCAAATCCACTGTTGTCCATCCAAGACTCAAGTTATCACTTGAGAATTATGACCATGGAGGCTATGACCAAGTTTTGAATACAAAGCAAAAATAATTGCAAAAGTTACAGAACTACAAAATCTCCCTCACACGGACAATCAAAATCAAACCTGACAATTAAATTACAACCTTGCTTCATTAGACATTAATCTTGCGGTGGAAATGAGTGGCTTTTAAAGGAGCCTTTCTGCCCCAATAAAAAAGCTCTCACTACAGTAGAACAATAAGGTTGCGTTGAAAGTTAGGAGTAGGAAGGACTATTAGGCCTCATTAGCTAATTATGGTATTGGCATCCACTTAAGTTACTCAGTTTTTCACTTGTGTCATTTTCTCCTATTCAACTGCTGCGGTTCAAAACGTTTTGACTACTTAAAAGGGAATACATCATCGTTGCCTTTCCCCGGTCTAACTGCACACCACTTTCCAAAGCAATAGCTTCAATCATGCTTCATAAAATCCCCTGCAAGTATATTGTTGGAAACATAAATCAGCAAGCTGGGGTTTTAGTATTTCTAAGGCAAGCCCAGGGATCACTGCCTGGTGGCTTTTCCGTGGCCCTATTTACAAAAGAATAAACAAAATTATGAGTTACACTAGATCCATTTTTTAAAAACAGCTCCCAGTGGCGTGTCTGATACTTGCTCTTGCATCCTTAATTAGAGAACAAAACACTAGCACAGAGGAATTAGTCTCCAAGATGAGGATTTCTATTTCCAAGCATCTCTGATTTCATTAAGACACATGGCACAGAAGCACTACATGTTTGTCCTCACAAAAGCCAGGTTCCTCTGATATGCGTCTATGGTTCTATAAGTCTTATGCATTTTGAAACTGTACCAGATAGAGATCTTCCTTACAATGATGCTCTCCTTCTACCCTGTTTCATTACAGTGAATATGGGCTCCCCCACAGGCATGCTTCCGTTTCAGAGCCCTTCTTTATAACCACCTTGCATTCTGATTATAAATTAGCAGAATCACAATTTCAAATTTAGGTTCCAGGTATAGACAAAATTACATATGTCTGTGTGTAGTGTTTAAATCTAGATATTAAACGTTCCTAGATTCCCTTGTATCCCCAAATTCCAGCACAGTTAGTGACTGAAATGAAAAATGTACAGACTCCACAACTGAGACATTTTTCTTCTCCAAACCACTCATAATGTAATCATAAGTCTGCATAAACTTGCTTCCTATTAAGCCCTACATTTTCCCATACTATCTATATTTATTTAATTGCAATTGTATTTTAACTGCAATTTTTAAGTTCTGTTTCTTAGTATTCAGAAATACCAGTCTATATTATAAATGAACAGTCAAACAAAATCAGCTGCTCTCCAAAAAATTAAAGCAGCATTATCTGCAGTGGATAAGTGTATGTTGATCTTTGCTATAAGAGTGGTGGAATTAACAGATTGAGCTAATGCTGGTTTCAGATGAACATATCTGCAGTTTTTCTAAGACTGAAATATTACATACTCCATGTTATGGGGAAATGAGCAGCATCTTACTAAGACACTTCACAAACTATAAAAATATCCATCATTTGCATTCTTATTTCTAAACATAAAATGTGCATCCAATTGTGTTTCATCAGCCACCAACACTAAAGCTTTGGGGAGGAGAAGGGCAGAGAAAGGAAGGTTTTCACATCCAAAATGTCAAGCCCCGCTGAAGAATGATAGAAGGACTCTATGTGCAAGAGCAGAAGCAACCATTTCAGGGCATAAAATGGAGTTCTACCACCCCCTGCTGGACCAAATGAGCAACACAGAAGAGCCTTAAAATGCTTAGAATTGAACATAGTGAAGATATTTTAAGTTATCTCACAATTCATTATTTTATTAAAAAAGAATTTCATGCTACACTAATAATGTAATATTATCTTCTATTATTACCCATTACAAAATTAGTGTTATATATATATATATATATTTTTTTTTCCTGTAAAGACTTCAACCAATACATGTTTTACCATTTTGTTTCCCCAATTAAATGTCCAAACTTGTCTGGACAGTTGAAAATGTTTCCATTTATTGTAAATATATTTTATGTGAATGCTCACTATCAAAATAAGTAAGATAAATTTATATTTATTTTTATACAGATTAACAGAGGTAGCTTCCACAATTTCTCCCTTAGGTTATTCTACTAGGCTATTTTTTTTTTTCTTTTCTTTCTTTCCCCAAGATATAAAAGCTCCCACCAGTTCTCCACAACCTCCCAAATCCCTTACAGGTGTAATTACAATCTGATGTTATAAAATTCTTCAATTTTGCTGTATTAACAAGGGGGAGGGGAGGGGGTCAAAATGAATGACTGCAACACATCCCTAGTTTTATCCATTTGCTTTCTTACACACAACATCTATGGCCCCTCTCTTAGTTTCCTACATAAATAAGCCATCATCGTTCACTTCATAGCTAGGAACTCGTCTTGGGAAAAGAGTCTCTAATTCCTTGCATACAACAGATATTTTACAAATTAGTTTAATGCTGATAGTTTTTGCTGGTTCTGTAAAATATCATTGTACCCTTTCCTTTCGCAACCTCAGATATTTAACTATGAATACACATCGACATACTCATCCAGTTTTTGAAAATGAAAATCAGAAAGCTAAAAATCCCAGAAAAAAGACGCAGTTTGCCTCGGTTTCCTGCTCACTGATGCCCATTTCCAATTCTGTATTTTCTCTTCTCTTATTTAAGGGTCTCAACAAAATAGACACAATTTTAGGGGCAGCTTAAAGAAGGAGCTAAAATAATAATAACAACAACAATAACTGTAACTTTACTTCTTTCATTTAATTCTTCCTGTGCCTCCCTCTTTGCCTCTCTTGGTTGGGTGGAAGGGGGAGGGAAAGTAAATGCAATAAAGCACCACACTCCTACCTTGCCCGCTACTGACAAGCAACCCGAGCAGGTAGAAGGAGAGGAGGAGGCTCATGTTCAGGACGTGACACTGGTGGACAGTTCCAAAGTTATTAAGTCCAGCCCTGGAGAGAGAACCTTCCGCTGCCACGGCCACCTCTGCTAGACCGCCGCTGCTCCCGGGGTGCCCCAGCCGCCCGCAGCCCGCGCGCTCCTCCTCGCAAAGTGACTGCAAGCTCCGCTCCTTGCCGCACTATATCCAGGCAGCAGCGGCGGCAGCGGCAGCAGCAGCAGCGGCCGCCGCGGCGGCAGCAGAGCCGGGCGGGAGGGAGGCGGGGGCGGAGACGCGGGCGAGGAGGCGCGGCCGAGGCGTATCCCTCCGCGCGGCTCGGCGGACGCTGCACTCTGAGGCGCGCAGCCCCGGGATTCGTCCGCAGTCGAGCTCAAAGCTGCTGGTTCGCTCCCCCGTGTCTCCAAATAGATGAGCTGCTGCGATGGGCTAGCAAGAGTATAACCGGCGAGTGATGACCCCACACTCAACCTGACAGTCACCCTCACGCGGGGACACGCCCCTGGGCCAAGAAAGGAGGTGACAAACAGCCTCCAAGCTTCCTCTCCCCGCTGGCCCCTCGGGGGAAGCCGAGCCGATACCGCTGCTGATGCTGCAGATGGCCTCCCGGTCCAGTGCCTCAGTCGCACCCGGGCTCAGCGGCCCCGGGAGACCGCGGGGCAGGCGATAAATTCCTTGGTCTCATTTCTCCTCAAGCTTGTGCGGAGAGTCGGGAGGGAGTTCTCCGTCTCTCCCAGATCGTTCCTCTCTCTCAGACCTGAAGCAGAGTGGCACCTTCCCGCGACTGTCCCCTTCCCGTGCTCTCCACTCCGCCACCGCAGGGGGAAAGCAATTGTCCTCTAGTATCTACAGGGCCGGTCTCCTCTGGCGCTAGAGGACAGGCGGAAAGATGTGCAGTGTTTCTTTACATGTTGCTGCTAAGAACAGGTATCTTAAGGGACATCGAGGCGGGGTGAGTTGTGGGAGGGGCTGCGTTCAACAGGCCTGTGAGTCTTAGCTGCGTCCTTAGATAAGTCTACAGTCTCTCATCGCCACACAGTTGGCTCTGCCTAAGGTCCCTAAAGCACAGCATTGACCAGGTTCCCGCAGGAACGCGACGACTGACGTCCTGTAAATGTAAAATGATGAATTGTGCGGAGATCCTACCCCAGGCCAGTCAGCCGTAACCCCCTCCCACTCACCCGTACACTGCGTGCATGTGCAAGTGTAAATTGAAGTGATGGAAAGGTGGCAAGCACCCAGAACTAACTCTCCTCACCTAAGGTTGAGGCATATCATTATTTCTCCTGGAGGGGTAGGAAAAGATTTGTCACTTTAATGTCAAACCTGTGGAACAAGCCAGGTAAGAGGCACAATCACTGGATGTAGGGCCCTTGTCTCCCTGCCCCTGGGTTAGGGCGACCAGTTGGAACTGACAACAGTCCTTTAGTCTGCACTTTTTTTCTGGCTTCTTAGAGTATAATTAATTCCCTCACCAGAGTCTCAGGGACCACTCAGGTTCTCTCGTTGTCAGTGATGACATAAAAATCGGATGGGATAGAAATATGGAAGGGCTCAGAAATCGAGTGCCCCCCATCTCCCCCCGCCCCATGCAATGACCAGATGGATGTGTCATTGACCTCAGGGAGGCCAAGGGAAGGGCTAAGCAATAAACACAAGTGAGCATGGATAGGGCAGATACTGGTGATGATTTGTTCTCTCCATGCAGAAGGGTTTATACAGAAGATTCATTTTCTTTGTACCCTAGGATGGGGTTATGCAGAAGAGACAAGGGGAAAAGGAAGTTCTCAATGTACACTGTGGCTTTCTAACCAGAAGCACTCTCTGCACCTACAGCTTGAGAACCTCTCCTTCCCTCTTGATATTATGCCAGGCAATATATTTAGGAAGTTCTTTTGCCAAGAGAGCCTCTATGCAACCTTCACTGGTTCTGGATCACACCAACTGTACTTAAGTTCATGGCCTTTTTGCAGTAAAAGATGAAAACATTGGGTGTTTTAAGTGTGAAAAACAAAACACTCGTTTTTACCATTTCTTGATTTCTCTAGGAGATCATGAGAAAACCACACACATAAAATTACAGAAGACAGCTGAAAGAGTACTACCAGTTCCAAATAACCTCTTCACCAGAAAGCTTGCGATTTTTCTCCCCAACACAGGGAGTGACTGAATGGTGGGTGTACACACATATGTGTGCGCACACACACACAAACACACACCAGGCAATCAGGGAAATACAGTTCTGAAAATTATATTCCTGTTATTAGAAGTAAAATTACTTTTATCTTATGCCAAGAGCTGAACTATGCCAGAGGAGAATAAGGTTTAGACAATGAGTCATCTTACAGAGAGAGGATAGGAGGAGAGAAGGGATCAATGACCTTTTTCAGATGTTAGTGAAATTTCTGGTTAGATACTTGTATCATAAGACGGTGAAAAATCCCAAAGTCCTTTGAGTTTGTGTTTGTGTGTTTGTATCTGTGCATGTACATGTGGGGGGGGGGGGTGACAGAGAGAAAGGGAGAGAGAATATAGTATCCATGTGTATGGAAAAGGCAAATGAGCAGAATCTTATTACTCAGGAAGATACAAAGGTAACAGGATTTGATCCTGCCCTCAGTTGACTAACCTTCTTGTTGAGGAGATCAGACATCAACAAAAGATACAAAATTTGATCATAAGAATCAGGTTGTAAAATGTCGTAACTAAAGATGAACTGATACAGCCATAAAAGAAGGGAACATTTCTGAATGTGGAATGAGAAGAGACTCCAGGAATCCTTGAATATAAGAGAGAAATTAGCCACATAGGTAAAATAGAGAGCAGTTTAAACAAAGCCAGCTTGCCAGGGGAACACATGGCATGTGCAAAACAGAGAGAAGTCTAACTTGAAAAAAATACAGAGTTTGAAACACAAATATGATTGAGTTGGAAAGAAGGTTTATCACCTTGCTATGCTAAGAAGCTTGATATTTGAAACCTCTGATCCAGACATGGGTAGTTAGAAAGTAGATGTACAGGGGTAGCAATTTAGCCCAGTGGGAGAGCACTTGCCTAGCCCTAGCATGTGCAAGCTTTGGGTTTTATTCCCAGTGCCACAAATGATAGATAAAGAAGTGACTGTCTCCATCCCTACGGCTAAAGGCCAGATTGCAAATTGTAGGCCAAGATTATCAAACAAGCCTTTCATGACTTCTGTATCAATTAGCCTAAATTTATTTTGCTGAGTGGTCTCAAGAGCAGGATGTCACATACTCAAAAAAAAAAAAAGAAAAGAAAAGAAAAAAATCCACTGCTTTTTAGCCAAAGGTGGAAGTGCTTCTCCAGGGCTCACATCACAAGCACATCCATTTCCCATTGCAGTGACAAAGTGATTTGCCTTCATTTGCCTCGGTCAGTTTCTCTTCTTATATTACCTCTGCTCACTGGCCCTTTCCTTACTCCTGCAGCCTGCTTTCCACAACACAGACATTGAGTCCTACTATGACATGTACCAGGTCCATGAATATGACTAAGCCATGTACACTGTGTATGATATTAAAAAAAAAAAACATAAAAACCATCCTCCATCCTTTATGTGACTCATAAATTGCATTTAAGATAATTTATCAACTTCTTCATTTACCTGAGGAAATATTTTGGAGCTTTCGTCAGTGTTTTAGTTATTTCATTTATAAAAATAAAATCAAGTTAAACAGAACTCAGGAATCTATGAAAAGCTGAGTAGTAAGAAATACCAACAGGACTGGATGCATGGTTAAATGAAAGCAGATAAATTTGATTTAGAAGAATCAATAAAATGAACATGAAGGAGTAGCAGAGAGATAGAAAACGATAAGGTGCATTATATGTGGAAATTATCTTCTCAGAGAGATTCTGCCTCTTACATCTGCAATCTGTTCCCACAGAAAGCATGCAGGTATATAATCTGCACATGGAGCCTAGACGTGAATGGTGTGCTGTGGGCAGCATTTAAATGTCGTTTTTATTTCCCTATTCCAGTGTTATTTTTGTTTACTCTGCGTGTTGACAGAATTCATGTGCGTTAAGATCACACTATTAGGAAATAGGACATTCCATGTGTTCATTTATATTTTTAAAATGTCACAAACCATTATACCTATTCATTTACTTGTCTAGAAAATTGCCTGTTTTGGCTTTTTTTTTTATTACCACAAAGGAAGAAAAATATCTACTGCGTATATAGACAGATAGCCGGAAACCTCTATAAATAGATGATCCTGTTACTGCCTTCCCTTCTCCATTAATGCCACTTTTTCTAATGACCATGTCTTTGAAAGTAATTTCTACTTTCTTGATATAACAACATGTTAGATGTTTTACCAAGCTACTTGTGAGTATCTGACAGTAGGTCCTTTAGCGGTAGAATTTAGGTTTTAGCACCTTCATTTTTAAATGCCTTACTTTCTTAACTGTTCTATTTGAAATTAAGAAACAAAAGAGGCAGATTTATGGTACTGAGGCACCCCAATTGTCCACTGATTCTTACTTTTTAATTTCTTTCAAGATACATGGGGTCATTTTCCTTCATGGCTACTTCATGCTCCCTCCGGGCAAATAACGGCTCACTTCGCTCTGAAATTATGCAATAACTGCCTATAATTTGCCACTTGCCAGAATAATATTTTCTTAACTCCAAGGGGATATTATATTTTTCTTCACCAAGACATTCCTGGCATATGTAATAATGGACAGAGCAGAAAATGTAACAAACCTGCAACACATTGACAAAACAGTGATTGACGTGATTTCAAGAATATATTAAGGACAAAGTAAGAAAGAAAAAAGGAATCAAGCAGTGGCTAACAATGAACCTTTTTGATATGACAAGGATCATGATGTGAAATGCAGGTTACCCAAATATTGATCACAACACTCAGAAATCACATTTTGTCCATGGGTAGTATTGACCAAGGCGATGTCTACACAAATCCTATCATGCAAAGGGAAGTTATTACATACTAGATAACAAATCCTTCATACTTGGCAACTGATCCCACAGAACTATAGGTTTGATAAGACACAGGATATTAATGTATTCTGGGCAGCAATAAAGTTAGTAATTAAATTTGAAAATGTCTAATTTCACAGAACCATTTAGTTCTTCCCTTTGTGGAAGTATGTTTCTGTAATTTTCAAGTTAGATAAACGATTCTATCCATTGCAGATATACTAATGGCAATAATGGAATTCCTTCCTATTTAATGAC